AAATGTCAGTACATGCTCACTGACTGTGCTAAGACCGTGCTAGGCATTTAGATTCTTTTTTTGCTTTTTTCCCCTTTTTGGTACTGGAGTACCACCAAGCTTGCTAGGCAGTCACTCTTTTGCTTGAGCTACGCCTCTAGCCCTTTTCGCTTTAGCTTATTTTTCAGATAGGGTTCTCGTGTTTTTGTCTGGGGCAAGTCCTGGACTGTCATCCTGCTCTGTTGGTCTCCTGCATAACTGGGATCGCAGGTGTGTACTACCATGTCAGGCTTTTTTTTTTTTTTTTTTTGTGAGACTGGGGTTTGAACTCAGAGTTTTGTGTTCATAAAATAGGCACTCTATCACTGAGCCACACCTCCAGTCCATTTTACTGTGGTTATTTTGGAGCTGGGGGTCTCGTGAACAATTTGTCTGGGCTGGCCTGTCATACAGCTGTCATACAGCTAGGATTATAGGGGTGAGCCACTGGCACCTGGCCCTCATTTTTAATACTCACAGCATCACGCGGTATAAAGTAGTAGTGTTGCCATTCTAGAGATGGAAAAAAGAAAGGTAGACCAGGAATTTATATACCTTGCCCATCTCCTTAGTGACTTACATAATATGACCATGTCTCTAATTTCTGTCATGGCTGTCTTTGTCTTTTAATGCAAAATCTCTGGAGTGGATGTATCTCTTAGATTTGAGGTTGAAAAACACTGCCTTATGCAATTAAAAGCCTAGACTGTTTCTCTGTAATCGAAACACTCAACTTGAAAACAGTAGGGAATTAATAATGTAGTAGTTCATTAGATGTGATTCACTGTATGATGCTATGGATAAAGCTTTAAAAAGTGTCTTTTATTTATTTCCTACAATATTTTATATGCTGTTCTGAGTTGCTTCCGAAAAAGCAGTAAATTGATACATGTGTCTGAGTATATTTTGTTAAACTTAAATAATTTCAAAAAAGGTTGGCTAACTTCAGAGATTTTATAAACCTTCTGGCTATTCAGGTATTCGTTCAGAATCCTGAACCACCCTAAATCTAAATCAGTACTCGTGTTTGAAAATTATGAATCCGTCTCATTTGATGTCAAATACAACTTTTTCTTAAATCAACATTTGCTACAAGATGTTTTTTAAAAAGAAAGAAATCAGCTGGGTGTGATGACACGGGCCTGTAATTCCAGCACTTGGGAGGCAGAGACAGGAGGATGGTGAGTTTGAGGTAGCCTGTGCTAGATAGACGCTGTCCAGAAATCATTGGTAATCACAGTGTAGGGTCATAGTCTGTTATATTGAGAGGGACATAGCCTACTCTGCGTTTTACAGAGGAAGAACAGGAGATTCAAGGAAGTGAAGTAGCTTGGCTAAAGTAAAAGTCACAACAAGGCCTCCCACCACTGTGTCAGGGGCTTCATCCATAAATCTACCAGAGTATAAGTGACTTACATAATATGACCATGTCTCTAATTTCTGTCATGGCTGTCTTTGTCTTTTAATGCAAACTTTCTGAATGCTTTGCATTCTTTTGCTCTAGGCGTATGTATGAAATAGTGGTGCTGACTTCTAGTTAAATTCTATGCGCTACCCTTGTGGTATAACTTAAGTAAATAGTTAAGTGGTTGGAATAATTTAATGAAGTGTGGATGATCCATGACCAGTTAAACTTTTTTTTTGTGTGTGTGTGGTGCTAGGGATTAAACCCCAGGGCCTGTTCATGCTGGGAAGGAACCTTAGCACTGAGCTACATTGCTAGCTCTTTAGTTAATTAAACTTTCTTTTGAGAAATTTTCAAACATAAAAAACTAGAGAAGAGGATTAGTGAACCTTTTTATTGCGATCAATTAAAAAACTTAACATTTACAATTTTAGGCATTTAAAGCATACAATTCAGTGGTCTTTAGTATATTTACAATGTTATGCAACCATCACTACAGTTTAATTCGAGAATATTTTCATCACCTCTCAAAACCCAAAGCAATTCCTCTCAATCCTTCCCTTCCTGGTCACCACTAACCTACTTTCTGTGTGGATTTGCCTACTTGGACATTTTGTATGGCTTTTTGTGATTGGCTTCTTTTTACTTAGCATGTTTTTAAGACCCACCCATGTTGTAGCATGTGCCAATATGAACCCTTATTTGACCATACCTGCCTCCAATAGTTATTTCATAGCAAATCTTGTTTTATATATATATGATGATGTCCACCTCCCCACCCCCCAGTCTCCAGCCAAATGGCAGGTAGGATTTAATTTCATTCATTGCACATGGTAGTCAAGTAGTCTACTACATGAATTATGCACCCAGCTCTTTTGTTTTTTTCTTTTACTGTGATACTGGGAGTTTGAAATCAGGGCCTCACACTTGCTAGGCAAGTGCTCTACCACTTGAACTGTGCCTCTAGTCCTTTTTGCCTTTTGATGTTTTACAGATAGGGTCTTATGTTTTTGCCCAGGTTGGCCTCAGACTGCAGTCTTTCTACTTTTGCCTCTGAAGTAGCTGGTATTACAGACATGAACCACCATGTCTGACCTGTATTTTGTTTTAAGGTGATAACTTTGCTATGCAGTCCTTGAACTCAAGGTCCTCCTGCCTTTAACTCCCAAGAAGCTGGGATTACCTCCACACCCGGTTTTCTAAATACGGCATTATTAACAACTATTTACATGGCATTTACATTGTATTGGGTATCATAAACAATCCAGAGATGACGTAGAGTATATTGGGGGATGTATATAGGTTATATGCAAACATTACATCATTTTCTATAAAGAATTTGAGCATTTAAAGATTTTTGCGTTTGAGGAGGTTTCCTGAAACTGTTCCCCCAGAAATACTTGTGGATGATGACAATTCATGTCCCATACAAGTCACCCATTTAAAGGGCACAGTTCAGTGGTTTTTATTGTTTGCAGAAGTTGCACAGTCATTATCGTAATCAATTTTACAACATTTCATCACCCCTAAAAGTAACTCTGCACCTGTTAACAGTCATTCCCCATTTCCATTTAACCCCTTTCTCCTCTACAGTCCCTAAGAAGCTACTAATCTACTTCCTGCCTCTTTAGATTTGCCTAGTCTGGACATTACTTAGAATCTTACCTCATATGGTCTTAGGACTGGCTTCTTTCACTTAGTGTAATGTTTTTAAGATTCTTCTACATAGCATGTATCATTTCTTTTTATTGTCATATCTAAGATTCCATCCTTTATTTATCTGTCAGTGATTGGCACTTGACTTGGATTTGTGGGGTTTTTTTTGTTTGTTTTTTGGCTATCATGAATAATGCTGCTGTGAACATTACTGTAGAGAGGAATCTTTGAGATCATTCTGTTTAACCCTCTTATTTTTTTAGACAAAACAGTGGCCCAGAGCTGTAGTAGTCACATCAAAGGTCAGAAAGCTATTTGAAATAACACATCTAGGCATGAAAGCCAGGTTACTGATTCTCTCTTATTCTCTCTTCACTATACAGTCTCAAATTAACATTTTGACAAAATGTTTGCCACCTGCATATTTTTCTGCCTGGCTAAATTGTTAAATATATAGCAGTGTTGGCTTATTTAAGAGGTTCTGATTTAAATGCAAAGAATGCAGTTTGGGATGAGTTAATTATAAATTCTCAGTTGCAAGCATGCCAAATAATATAGCACTACAGTTTATGTGATTACAATATCTTAAGTACTCAATCTAAAGAATCCTTAGAAATCACAAAGCCAAAACTGCATCAGAGAAGCACAGCTATTATTAAATTCAGAAGTTTTGTTAGAATCTCAGCTCTGATTCATCATGGGATCCTCCAGTTTTAAGCATACTTAACACTGTGGCTGAAGGGTGCCTTTGAGGTGGCAAGAAAGAAATAAAGGAGAGTAGGGGAGACTTTCACTGGAAATCTGTTTACATGTCCACCTTTCTGATCCTTTTTAGGATTTAAAAAAGTTGACTAGCCATATCAGGTTACTGTGATGGAGCATAGAGGGGAAGGAAAGTAACTTTTAAGCTACAGTGACCTTTTCATTTCTGTTTTCTTCTACTTAAAGTATTCTGGTGAAGTCATTAGTAATCATCCTCAGAAGGCAGAGCTGGGCTGTTTTTGATTATTCTGCCCCCTAATAAAATAGAATTGGTCAATGGGGTAGTGACACAAACACTAAACTAGTAGTTAGACTTTAAGTCTGCTTCTAAGAAGCCACATAACTTTGGTCACATGACTTTATTTTTTCACCTGAGAAAGGAGGTTATGGGTCTCCCATTGCAGCTCACAGATGCTTTGTGAGGAGTCAGGCCATCAAAAGGCTTGCAATCCCTTTGCACCCCATTCTTCCTCACATCTTTTTCCTTTGCTGGGATATAAGCTCCTACTGAACCTGTTCAGTATCTCAGCCCAGTGTTGGACAAGTGGCTCTGTGTGTGTCTAAAAGTAGTAGTGATAGTAATGATACGTTCCTGCAGTCATGCTGGAGGAAACACAATGGTCAGCTAATTGGATATGGTTCCTTTCTGGCAATTTTACGATCTAGTGCCATGAAAGAGAAATTAACTATCAAAAGTGTGTCCATCAATCATGGTAGCCTTGAAGGAAGGCCAATAGACCATGAAGAAATTTAAGGGGGCCTCACTGGTGTTTGGGATGGGACTTAGTAGCTCTGGAATGGACTGGTAGTACCCCCTTTGGATCTGTTGTAGCTGATGGCAGTCAGCATGTAACTTACGAGAAGCGTAAATTAATCAGTTAGTCTTACTCAGGTGCCTTTGGTTCAGGGCTTTATTGATATGGCTTAGATGTTTGTAAAAATTCCCCCTTTTTTTTTTTCTGAGTTACTGGGGTTTGAACTCAGGGCCTCTTGCTGGGCTCTACCACTTAAGCCACTCCACCAGCCCTCACTTTTGATAGAAGTGATTTCTAAAATATTCTCTTTGGTTTTATCTATATTTTTTGAAGTGTTTCTCATTATAGATGTGACTTTGTTCCAAAATTCTGAACCATGACATTTGACTTATTTTTGTTCCTAGGAGCTTTTGATGGAAGGCCAGCAGACTATTTATTCATGCTTCTCTTTAACTGGATTTGCATCGTGGTATCCTTTAGTGTTATTTTGGGCCAGAAATGAAACAGTTTTTTTTTTTTTTTTTTCAGGTTTGGGGAAACAGACAATATTGTATACACATTTCAAATTGTAGTATTTCCTTTTTTTTTTTTTTAAACAAACTACAGTTAACAATTAAAAATAGTTGAAATTCTTTTTAAAAACTATAGTAAATCATATCCCCATTGCCTCTGTGGGATTTTCCACATTTGGTTCAGTTTTATTGTTCCTTCTTTTTGTTCCCAGTTCTCTGTGTTCTCATGGGTGACAGCTTGTTGACTGAAGCACAAAGATTTTATGCCATGAGACAGCTTTTGAAATCTGTGGTTCTTGTTGGAAAATTAATTTATTACTAGCATAATTTTCTGACTTCATTAGTGTCCTTCTTTTGGGGTCTTTTAAGTGGTAATTCAGTCCCACTGTAAGGTACCCACTTCTGGACACCGTCTGTCTCTATATTATCTGCAGTTGCCAACAACCTTCCAACTTCATGCTCTTAGATTGAGAGAGTAGCAAAAGGGACTTCATGACTCAAGTCCTGGCCAGAGTAGTTGGTAAGCTCACAGTTGCCATTTCAACTTGGCCAAGAGCCAGAAAATGCAAGGCATTGGATAGCCTTTCCTTTCCTTTAAGGGAATGAAAAAAATGGTTTTGACGATCATCCATGCTGGAGAACCCTGATTGTAAGCAGAATCATTACTTGTTTCAGATGCATTAGCGTCTCCATGTTTTACTTGAAGGAGAGATGCTAAAACACAATGGCAAGGCATGGAAATGAGGACACCCGGTGACTTGAGTCATGCTAAGGCTATAATTTCTTTATCTCCTTGTAGTACAGTCTAACAGAATATTCATAATGAAGATTATTAGAACCTTTGTGTTCTAGTAATCTGAATGACAGAACAGTGTTTTCCTTCAGAACATTGGAATGAAATTAACTTGTAAGTGGGGGAGATAACTATCAGCCTTGATAGGTACAGGATACTTTTTATGTGGGATCTTTAACTTTACCATTCAAGATTACTGGCTTAGCAATGGATATGCAGGTAAGTGTCTCTTTAAGGTGTTTGCCTTTTTATATGTTTCAGACTTAGAATTAATAGCCTTTGATAGAAATTGAAATCACATTAACTGTGGTTAATTATGTCTTATTTTGAACTTACAAACTGATAGCTATTGTTATTTTGTTAAACCTTGAGTTATCTAAATAATTGTTTTTTTCTGCTTATTTCTGGCTCTGTATTATTTTTGGACATTGAGAATAATGTGGGTTGGGAATGTAGCTTAATGAGAGTGCTTGCCTAGCATGCATGAGGTCTTGGGTTCTATCCCCAGAACCACAAAAAAAAAAAAAAGAATGTGAATAATGGTTAGGTGGTTATGCAGTATTTTCTAGGCATGTGTGAAGGCGTATATTCTTTACAAAACTACAAAGCTTACTTTTGCAAATAAACAGCTTAACTAATATTTTTGAGTCATTCTAAAATATATTTTGTTACAGGATTTTATAGCATCATAGTATGATAAGTTAAATTATAGGATCAATTAGTAATTCTGATCAGTTGCACTCCCCTTTGCTTTTTGAATACCTGTTTGAGAATGTTTTTAGAGGGGAGGGCCTCTTTCCTCTTTTCCTCAGGCTTTTCAGGGAGCCTAGTTCTCACATGTCCACTTCTTTTGCAGTTGCTGATGATTCCTCTCATTATGTCAGTGCTTTATGTCTGGGCCCAGCTGAACAGAGACATGATCGTATCATTTTGGTTTGGAACACGATTTAAGGTACTTTATCTGTATTTGTCTTTACAGAGATCCCTCTCTTCAGTCCAAAGATGTACTTTCTGACTCATCCAGAAGAGGTCACTGCAGAGCAGTATACCATAGGCAAGCCCCTTTCCTCCCCTCTGCAGTCCAGTTCTTAGCCAATCCAGAGACCCTTGCTGACTGTTGTCCCCAACCCCTAACCCCCTCTTGTTCCTCAGGCCCCTCAGGGGTATGTAGGTGTATGTGTTAGAGAGAGAAGGAAAGATAACTCAAGTGAAATCCTGCCATTTAAAAACTGTTTTTATTATTCTCTCACTCCATGTTATGTGCTTAGTACTTTCACTAAGCAGCTTGTTTTTTGCCCCCAAACACTACCTGATCTCATAATTTTCTACCTGTAGCACCTTCCCCTGCCTTCCTCATATACATCCTACCCATTATGGGACAGAGCATACTTCTCTGGTCTTTTGCCTGGCTTAGTCTTGGCTTTGGGCTTTTGTAGTGCTTTGTGTTCATTTTATAGTTCTTGCATCATTTAGCCCTAAAGCTATTCATGTATTATCTGGCTTTACTAGTTTGTGAAGTTCCCCACAATGCTCTTGGTGTGAGGTCTTGAATTTGGTATGGGCTCAGTTGTTGAATTCATAATTTGGAGGGTATTAGTTGAAGATGTCAGTGTGTAATGAGATAAAAATTCAAGGTAAATGTTTGCAGCAGTTTTCTGGTTGGAGTTTGTGATTCTGTTGTGGACTATATTTTTATATAGCATTCATAGAATACTCATTTACTTTTTGAAGCTCTTTGATAATATTAATTTGGCAGGGCATGCATTGGCACCTGAACTATGGGCAAAGTACTCTGTCAGTGCAGTTATAAGTATACAAATAAGGGTGGTTTTAGGTAGGAAGTTTTGCAGCAACCCTCCAAAAGATTTATGTAAAGCTCTTGTCAGTATATCTTTTCCCAGTTCCGTCCTATTAGCAGCTGTATCCTCTTCAGGTGTATCTGTTCACATTTGTTTCCATTTTTTCCTAGGCCTGTTATTTACCGTGGGTTATCCTTGGATTCAACTATATCATCGGAGGCTCGTAAGTAGTATTAGATTTATTTAATTGGAAACTAACCTTGGAAAATGTCCATTAATCTTTATCTTCTTTCTCAAATCTTAAAAAACAACCTTAAAGAATTTCAATACTGATGTTTTAGAGCCTTATACTCATAGAATAATGACATTTTGATATAATTGGCTAAATGGCAGGACTTTAATTGAATGGTAATAATTTGTCTATGGCCATACCACCCTGAACACGCCCGATCTCGTCTGAATGGTGATAATTTTATTAGCTTGTATTAGACATAGTATGCTTCTGTATTTATGTGTTTGAACAAACATATTTCTGGAATCACTATCCAGACCAGGCAAACACTGACCTAATTTGTGCTTGAGACCTAATTTGTGTTGACTTCTGTAAGAGCTATCCATAGCATTACTATGTCTTGTTTTGTTTTTTTTTTTTTTTTTCAACACATTTCCAGAATACTTTGGAGATTGGTCATTGTCATAGAAATGCAGATTTTCAGATGAGAAGTAGTTTTGTAAGTGGTTTGATGGTACAGAAGTTTTGGTCTAGTAGGGTCAAATTTCTAGTCTCTTGGTTTGGAATTAAAGATTTAGGAAAACCTTTCATGTGTCCAGGCAGTTTTAAAGGGAGACCATCAAGATGCAGCTATTCTAAGATCTTCCATTTCTTACACTACAAAATATTTTCAAGATTTGAGTAGATTTTAATAGTACTAGTTGCATATATCTGATATATTTGCTCTGTTTGTGTGATCCTAACTCCTTCTGCATATTGATAGGGAGAAGTGAATGAATTGAGCAGACAGACTTTGTTTAGAGCATAGTATGTTCTGAGCTTGGTGAAGCCATTGTCCCACCCAGAAGGGCAGAGTCTGGAAGCAGTTGCAGGCATTGATTGGCCTTGGCAGGAATCATGTTGCAGGTGAAGACAAAGAAAGGTATACAGTAGTAGCAGTGGATCATAAAACCTTGAGGTGACCTGTGCCTAAGCCCTGGGAAACGTGAAGAAAGTTAACATTTATTTTAGGATGTTCTCCTAAGTGATCTTGTGCTGCTTACACTCAAGGGTACAAGAGGTGAGGTTCATTGCATGCTTTTGCATGTGATAGCTCCAGGAATCGAGGGCAGCCACTTACTGTCTTTCCCCACTCCCATCTGCGTCTCCTGGTGGCGTGCATATTTGCCCACATTTTACAAACACAGTGTTCTTGACTGAAAGAACTCAGAAGCTTTGTTTGCAATTTCCCCAACTCCAGTGTAATAATAAAAACCCTATTTTGAGGATAGACTGAGGCTTGAAAGAGACGTCAGAGGGGCTGCTGGCCTGGCAGGGCTGTGGGCCTCATTGCTTCATCAGGCCTGATTTTTCCCTGTCCCTCAGAATACATGTGTCACTCAGACTGTAAAAGGGCCTATTGTGGAGCTGTCACAGACTTCAGGGACTGTAATAGGCTGCAGTGAAGGATCTCTTCCCCATACTATTAGTTAAAACCTGGTGTTATCTCACTTTGGCTAACTTGGCTCTCTGTTTGCAGGGTAATCAATGAGCTCATTGGAAATCTTGTTGGACATCTTTATTTCTTCCTAATGTTCAGATACCCAATGGACTTGGGAGGAAGGAATTTTCTATCAACACCTCAGTTTTTGTAAGTGTTTCCTCCCTCTTCATTGAATGGTCATTGTTCTGTCTGTGGTCTCATGTATCCTGATAAGAGCTTCCCAAGCAGTCATTGTACCTCCTGACTAGTGGAGAAATGTGAGCCAGCAAAGGACCTGCCGGTCACACAGCCACAGGAAGCCAGGAATTGAAGCCACAGCTCAGTTTCCTGCATAGCACCTTTTAGCCAGGGACCATTGATGACTCGGTTCAGACATCACAGGAAGATAACCAGCTGTGCTGAGCACTGAGGTACCTGAGTAACCTCAGGGTGCCAAGCAGTGGGCTGGGGGATGGGCAGAGTAAGGGGGTGACAGAACTCTTTTTCTTGGAATATCATACCAGTTTTTACCCATAATGGCAGCTGCGGAAGGGATAAGTTAGCCCATTGTTGGCAATTTCAAGTGTTTGTTGTTTGAGACAGACTCACTATGTAGTTCAGGCTGACCTTGAACTCAAGATCCTCTCTCCTCAGTCCTGAGTGCTGGGATTGCAGGTATGTGCCATTATACCTGGTTAAACTTCTTTATATTGAATATTACAGAATAGGAATTTTATAGGGCTGTGCACAGTTAAAATGAGAGACTTGCATAGTCCCAACTGCTGGGAGTATGCTTGTTCTTTATCTGTTTTAGGGTTGACTGAAGTAAAGAGGCCAAGGACAGTAGGTTTTTGGTTTTGAATGCCATTCCCCTGTAACAGTTTTCATACTGGGAAAGTTACATAATAAAACCTCCAAGCTTCAGCTTGCATGTCTGTATTGAGGGGCCGCCCCCATCTCGCAGGACTGGATGAGTGAGGCAAGACACAGTTGGGAGCACAGTGGTGGGTACTCAGTAAATAAAAGCTGTAATAATGTGCCGTGTTGCTTATGTTGGGAAGGGAGATTGACGAGCCGAAAAGAGATGCTCACACACTTGAGCGTGCAAGTAGCATGGCCAGTCTGTCGGTGAAGCAAAAGGCTGCTGAGAAAGGGACCAGTTAAATCACCATCTGGGTGTCACAGCCTGCCTGACAATCACGCCTAATTTCATGTCAGGGATATGCAGTAATGACTTGCAGTTAAAAACACTCACAACCCTTTTCCATCTTTCTCAATTTCTGACAGTTCTGTCATTTTTCTAAGGGGTTATGGGGGCACTACAACTTGAGCGAGTCCCCTTCCCTACCCCTGTATTTGTTTGTGGAAGACTTTTTAATTGTGAACTGTAATATGCAGAAAAATATAATACTGTTATGTGTGGGGTTTTTTTTCCCCTTTCCTTTAAGAAAAAGAAAAGGAAACTTCTCTTCTGAGCCTTGGGTGCCTTCAGGCTAAAAAAACACAAATGACCAATCTGCTTTCTAATTATCAAAGGATGTAATAACAGCAGGTTTGGATTTCTGATGTAGGTTTATCAAGAAGGATGGCAGATGCACCAATTTAAAAAAACTTGTGCTTTGGGGAGTAGCCAGCAGATTTTTTTTTTTTTAAACTTTAAATGGCTATTTTCTGACTAACAGCTTATAGATACTTCTCAATTGTGGACAACAAAGTGCACGTTTCTAGTGGCAGAAAGAGTGAGCAGCACAGCCTGGCTTCCACTTGAGCTTTCTCTGTTGGTGGAAGCCCTTCTGTTACATTTTGCATAAAGATCAGATGATAAAATGTAGCTCCTTGCAAAAGCAGTAACTGCTTTGAAATTACCATAAATTTTTGTTGATTATGTATAATTGGGTGTCTTTTTATACTAATTACTTACATTTAATTTCACTATCTGCTTAAGCTTAAGCAATGGTGCTGGCTTCTGTATTGTCTTAGAGCAAGTAGCAGAGCAAGATAAACCAAGTATTGCCTTTTTCAAGTGTTCTAATTTATTATGGACTTTAGAGATGTAGTATCATACCATACGTCATAGATGTTAATGATCCAATGCTTGGAAATACCCTTTGATTTACTGATAAAGCTGAATTTAAATTTATTTATTTATTTGTTTTTTGGAGACAGGATTTTGCTATGTAGTCCAGGCTAGCCGAGAACTTGCAATCTTCCTGCCTCCTGCCTATCAAGTGCTGGGATTACAGACCATGCTTGAAGTCTAAGATGATAGGTATTCTTTAGAAAAGTAGTTATATCTTCTCTTCCATTTGGTTAATTTTTAATTTAAAAGGGGTCACTGCCAGGTGTGGTGGTGCACATGCATAATCTTGGCAGAATCATGGTTTGAGACCAACCTAGGCAAAAGTTGATAAGAGTATCTCATAAGCAAACCAGGTGTGGTGGTGCACACCTGTGGTCCCAGCTACTCAGGTGGCAGAGGTAGGAGGATCGTGGTCAAAGCTGGTCAGGGCAAAAGCATGAGAACCTATCTGAAAAACAAACTGAAAGCAGAAGGACTGGGGGTGTAGCTCAGGTAGTAGAGCCCTTGAGATCCTGGGTTCAGTTCCTAGTATGAGGGAGGTCATTGTCTTCTTTTGGAAAGGAACATAAAGGTATCAAGGATGATACAAGCAAATGCAGCCTCTAGTCACTGACTGCTGTCCTGTCCCAGCAGGAGGTTGTCTGGGTTTGAGTCCTGACATTTTTGAAGAATTTCACTCATTCTTGCTTTGGGGTGCTATGGCACATGTATGTAATCCCAGCTACTCAGGAGGCTAAGGCAAGAGGTTCTTGAGTTTGAGGCCAGCCTGGGTAACTTAGTTGAGATCCTGTCTCAAGAGAAAAATTAACAAAAAGGTTGAGGGGGGATATAGCTCAGTGGTAGAACACTTGCCTAGCACCCCAACCCCACAAGAAAATAAAGGGGCTGGGTTGGGTAGTAGTAATGCCCTCTTCATAGGGTTGTTGTGAAGAACAGATGAATTTATAAACAGGCAGCGCCTGGTATAAGGAAGAGCTCCTTGAGTGATAAGGGCCCATAGTAGCTGCTTTAGTGTACACTTGTGCTCATCAGCCTTCTGTATGGGGAGTCACCTGTGATGACTTACTCTGGTGCCTTGAGGGTTTTAAAAAGTGGTTTCAGTTCATACTCTGCCTTCAAGCAAAATTTTATTCAGATCTGCTAAGTGCAATAGGTTTAAAAAACAATCTCAACTCACTAGTAATGTAGGCAAAGAAGGAAGCAGTTGGAAAACACTGTTGAGAACATAGACTTAGGCTTCAGTTTTCTCAGCTATGCTATGACTTCCAATTTATTAATTTGCAATTTATTAATTTGTAAGGTGAGAAATCATCTAACTCTTTTGGGCCTCAGCTCTCCCACCATCTGTGAGATGGGAAGAATACAGTTGGAAGGAAGACAATGAGTAAACTTCACCCCCTCCCCCCACCTTCAAGACAGAAAACCTTCTTCCCCAAGCTTAATGGACTCAGCTGAGAGCACCACGGAAATGCTGTGCAGAGCTGGGAGGCAGAAGGATCTTTAGTTGAAGGGCAGCAGCCAGTGCATTTGTCCTTTGAAAGTGGATTTATTTTGTATTCTTTGATCCAGTTTGATCGTGTTTAGATATACCAAGATGCTTTTAGTCGTTCTTTTTGGTTGTTGGGCTTGTGGGTGTAATCTTTTTGTTTCCATACTGTTCTGCATGAATTGCTTTTATAATCAGTTAAAAAAATGTTTAGAGTGTGAATTTAGCTGAAAGCTTGATAAAGTTAAGAAACATGAAAAGCAAAAAGCAAATGCCATCTGTAGTTAGGGCATTTGCTAAGTATGCTGAAAAAGCAGACTTAAGTAAGACATTGTCCCTGGCCTTCTTCAGTGTGACAGATGCCATGGGAACATCCAGGAAAGAGATGAGTATTGAATGCTTACAGACTGTGGAGATGACTTTGGTCTCTGCCTTTGTTTGCCCTCTCTCTGTCCCAGGTACCGCTGGCTGCCCAGCAGGAGAGGAGGGGTGTCAGGATTCGGTGTACCTCCTGCTAGCATGAGGCGAGCTGCTGATCAGAATGGTGGAGGCGGTAGACACAACTGGGGCCAGGGCTTTCGACTTGGAGACCAGTGAGGACCAGCCTCTGGCCTGGCCACCAGGCGTTCCACTCAGACGACTTTCCTCCCAGTGCTGGGTGTGCTTAATGACCGAGTTCTCCCACCGCTCTTGGACCTGACCCACACTGAATGTAGTCTTTCGGTATGAGACAAAATTTTTTAAATCCTGAAGGAAAATACAAGTATTCCTCAAGTTTCATGATTCTCATTCAAGTCCTTACTGCTACGAAGAACAAATATCAGCCATGCAAATTTCAAAACTGAATCTTTTTTTGGTGTCTTCTCTTTTTTCCTTTCCGTCTGAATAATGGGTTTTTAGCAGTTCCTGGTCTGCTGGCACCGAGCTGGGCATCTGGGGCTGGGATACCAGACCCTTTCAAAAGGAGCCTTACCTCTTTTTTGCACACATGCCTCCTTGCTACTTTTCCCAACCTCTAAATGTCCTCCCAGAGGGGGGTCGCCCATAAAATGGTTCTGCCTTTGACAAACTCGTATTTATTGACTTTTGCCAAGAACTTGTTCACACCATTGTTTTTCCCCTTTGGTGGCAGAACTGTAACAATAGGGGAGAAGACTGAAGCGGTGTATCTTTGAAGAGCTTTCTCAGCTTTCCACCTGACAGCTGTTGTAACCATTTGCCACCTCTTCAAATGTTTTCATAAAAAGTACCACTGAGTCAGTGAGGGTCTAGATTGGTATTAATGAGATTCAAGGGTTGTTACTAGGCAGTTTTTTCCTAAATTAAGGGATGGGAACTGCAGTGGAGTTGCTTCTAATATGATCCCTCTGTGTTTTCTGGGAGGGAATACTGGCTTTGTGGACCCAGAGCAGCTGTGTTGTGTCAGGAGGTTCCAGGTCACATTGGCCACAGAGATGCTGCCTGGGAGAGGCTTCTGGGAACTTCATTCTTATGAATGTGTGTTCAGTGAGTAGATGCAGGAAAGAACCTCAGACCCTATTTAAATTGTTGGGAGTTTTTTTTGTCCCTCTGCGTTTTTTTTTAGGTTAAGTGTATCTGTTAATTGTGAGGGAAGTATAGCTTTTCTGTATGTGGATCATTTTTAAAAGCTAATATAAGCACACCTGAGTGAATCACATATAATTTGGGATTGTAATGGCTTTAGAATCATTTGCATCTGAAGGTCTTTATTATTTTGGGTCATGAATGTACACATGTTGTGAATTGGACCAGCTTGAACATCCACAACTCCCGTTTTGTAGGTGGGCTTTTTCCATCAGAGCCTGGCTCATCACCAAATAAAGTTTTCTGAAAGCCTATGGTGTTTCACATAATTACTTTGTTTTATGTTTTTATTCTGAAAGCAGACTGCTAGGAGCAGTGGGGAGTGGCTGCCATATTTTGAGTGGCTAAAAAGGTTTTGAACATTTTGATCAGTTTTTTTTTTTTTTTTCAAGAAACATGCCCTAACAGTATTGACTGTTTCTTCCCCACTTAATAAACTGTGATGTATGTTATACTGGGAAATGGGAGCTTGAGAAGAGCTCCTAATTTTAATAATGTTTGTGTATAACTCTCCATATTTAATATACATGATATAGTAGTAGGTGGGAGAGTCTGAACCTAAACTGTCATGTTCTATTGGACCGTGGCTGAAATAAAACGTACTTGGAAAGTTCTAGAAGCCATTCTTCCTGTTCTGTTGTATGTAACTCACTGTGAAAGTGGAAGCGCGTGTGTAAAAGAATTTTAGTGGTGGGGTGAGAGGTTCTCCTGAGCTTTCTCACCAGCCTGATTGCCAGAGAGTAGTATTTTTTCTCAGCTCTCTAAGTATTTAGAATTCTTCAAGGCAAAATCTTCATTAATTTAAATTTTTGTTTTTTAAAGACAGCGTCTGACTATGTAGCCCACGCTAGCTTTGAACTTGTGATCCTTCTGCCTCAGCCTCCTGAGTAATAGTATTATACGTGTGGGCCACAATACCCAGCTCTATATTCTTTTAAACATTAGGAAACTGATAATTTTATAACCAATTTTTTTGGGAATAATTTAACCAAACCAAGCCATTTGAGTTTTGACTTGGCAAGGTAAGACATGACAATGGATTTTCTTTTTGAATGGAAAAATAATCCCTATTTTTTATAGATGGCTTCTCTTTTTGTAACTAATCCTTTTAATTGGCAAAAATTTTAAGTTAAAGTGTACAACTTGTAGGTTTCTGTATACCTGCCATCTCTTAGATGTTGCATAATTTATGTGATCAGTCTTCTCTTGATTAGCATTTTATGTAGTGTTCAGTAGTTTCTGCCATTAGAGGGACATGGTAGACCTTTTCGTACATGAATTTGTTCACCTGTTGGAGAAAGTTTGAATTATTCCTGAGTTTTCAGTTTAATGACAGGATACTTCTGAATTTTATGATAGGAGTCATGTCTGATGGGAATTTGCGTTCTGGCATTTCTGTTACTTTTATCCAGGGGTCTGAGTACTAGAACTCTATAGAATGAGGTAAGAACTACAGAGACTAGAAAGCAGATGCCATGACATTCATGAGTGTTTTTGTCTTGAGGGTGAAACATCTGAGTCTATTTGTGGGCTTGTGATACCTTTATCCTAAGATGGAGCCAAGACAAGAAGGAGGGTGTGCATCCCTCTTCTGTTACTGGGGAAATACCAGAACAGTAAGGAGGAAGATCTTACTTATTTGGAAGGATGGCACATTGCCAGTACCGTGGTGTTTTAAGCTACCTTCTGAATAACACTGATCCAGTAATAGGCAGTATTTGAATTGCCGCCTTCTCCATTCATTACCATCTGTTTGAGGTTCCTTCCCTTCTACATTTCCAGCAGTAACAGCGCTGAATGACAAGGCTTAGCCCTTGGGAAACGTTACTCTTCCTGGAGTTGTCACTGTTGCTGTCTTCAAAAGCTGGACTAAGTTTGTTTGCTGGCAGTTCATGTATTTGCTGTCCAGAGTGGCTCTGGAGATGGGGTGGAGGGTGGACCTGTCATGGCCTCTGATTCCCTGTGTGTGTGGTTTAAGTTCAGGGACACTTGCCACACACTTCTTGTATCTCATTAATTCTGTTCTGTTCTCACACCCATTCTGATAGGTTAATTTGTGCCCAGGGGTGCCCCATTATGAATTCATTTAGGCCTCTGCTCTATGATTTCCCAATCTTGCTATACGTGCGAGTCACTTGGGACTTTTTTGTGGTGGTGTTGGTTTCTCTCAGAGGAGACTTTTTCTTTTTTAGAAACAGTATCTAACTGTATAGCCTAGGCTAGCCTTAAATTTGGAATCCTCCTGCCTCAACCTCCCAAGTACTGGGATTATAGGTGTGAACCACCATACCCAGCTTACTTGGGACTTGTAAAAAATGAAAATATCTTTCATCATTCCATTCTACATGTTTTTAAAGTTTCCAGTGATTCTGATATGCAGCTGGATTTGGAAGTCGGTGTTTAAGCCAAGTTGTGAAATAGGTATTGCTCGTTTTCCAGATAAGGAAGCTTAAGGCTGATAGATTAATTCACTTGACTTAAAATTAGGCAGCTAGAAGGTGCCAAGGATAAGCTAGAAGCCCAACTCTTGAGTTTAGACCTTTGTTGCTGCTTTTCAGCTGAGAAAACCATAGCAGATGCTGGCAGGACACGGGTGCCTGCTTTCCACTGAGGCATTCGCCTTGGCCCACTATACGGACTCACATATTTGTGAGTAAGTGAGCACTGCTACAGTACCTTTTGACAAACTGTCAGAATGGAAATGTTAAAAACTTGTCTTGGACACAGGAACTTGGTCTTGTCAAAGATCAGTGGGCATCTCCAGGCTGAGATGGGGGGAGGCCATCCATTCTAGCAGAAACAGCAGCAAGGACAAGAAATGTTGGAAACAGAGAACTGTGTCTGGACATGCAGAATACAGGTGGGGAGTGGCAGACACAGAGGCTGGAAAGGGAGATTGGGCTTAATCTGGACAAACCTTTTGTGATCCCGTGTGAACTTGAGTTTGTTGGCAACAGAAAATATTGAAAAGTAATGGACTGCAGGGTAGAGAGATGAAGAAGAGGCTGGGGTAAGGAAAAGCTGAAGACAAGATGACCCAAGTTTTGCACTGGTTGTTGTGGTAAGGGCTGGCTTGGCCTACGGCAATGTGACTAGAGCCTGGGTTGCAGGGAGGGACTTCTGAGAATTGCTGGGCCTTAATGAGGAATAAGTGCGTAAGTAAAGGGTGTCCGTTGGACTTAAGGGCTGGGTGCACTTTACTTATTAGTAAGCTGAGCAAATGCTCGTTATGGGTTTAGTTGATACTGCAGTAGTTGCTAGTAAAGCGGCCTAAAAAGAAAAAACAACAACAAAAAGCCACTATTGTAAGTATCTTTTTTTATTAGCATACATTAGTAGCACGATGGGGTTTCATTGTGATAATTGCATAGATGTGAACAGTGTACTTTGAACAAGTTTCCTCTGTGGTATTTCTTAGTCTTCCCCTTTGTGGGTGTATGTCTGTGGAAAAAATACATTATGAATTCCAAACCCATCACCTTGAAAATAAACTCTTAGAATATGATTTCCTGAAATGGGGATGGCTCTGGAGAAGGCCCCAGGGGAGAGACAATTCTCTTGATTCAGTATCCTCCTTCAGGGCACAGCTTAAACCCACAAGACCAGGAGAGACCTTTAGGCAAGGTGAAGTGTTATCTCCTGTGGCTCACTGGCTCTCTGATCTCTGTGACACTTCACATCATTTGCTTACCATCTCCCCTGTGGTCTGTAATCATGACAGGGACTCCATATTCATAGCTGTATTCCAAGGCACAGCACAGGCATGCCGCATTCAGGCATTGGTGTCTTTTCCACTGAACTAACTTAGGCTGTGTGAAAAGTTGGGTAAGAATCTGGGCTTCTTAGGGGGAACTAATGGCTTGGTATCCCAGGAGCATTAAAGAATCATGTAAGGGAACCACTGTCCCCTCAAATGGGGTATTGAGGGAAGGTGGAGATAATGGGGCTCAAAATACTTCTTAAATATTGTTACCAGCTAATGAGTGTGAGTACTTGGGGTTGTTGAGGTAAAAGGACACTGTACAGACTGGAGACAGGCAAGAACATGTGGGAAGATTAATTATGGGAATAAATTTAGCTTTCTCTCCCCTGAGGAATTCCCCGGTGGCCTGTACAAATGTATGTGTATTTAGAAAGGCCAAACCCCAGCCATATCATGGTGTCACAGAGATCCTTGGAGTGCAGAACTGAATTTAGGTACAAGGCCTAAGGATTACTTACACAATGTTCACTGAGCTCGAATTGTCATTAGAAGCCTCCACCTGTCCCAGATGAATCTGATCTCCTCACCTCTCTGCCAGTGTGTGGGCCTTTTCCCAAGGGCTGGCACTAATACAGTGAGTGTCCTTTCTTGTTAATTAAGGGAAATCACTATTAGTTTAAGGGAGCCTTTGGATTTTGATTGTAGCTGTCTTGATAGAGAAGTAGTACATTCACCTGGCTCTAAGGATGTAAGATACATCTGTCTCTCTTTATGCATCCAGCGGGCCCTCATCACCTCTGGCTCCCTGGAGGTGCTCAGACCCCTTACTAGAAAGGAAGGATTGGGACTTGGATGATCACATGTGTTGGATAGGGATCTTTGCTCATAAAGGACTCTGGCTGAGTTAAGCAGAAAGGGAATTTATTGAAAGTTATAGAACAGCTTACTGGTTCCAAGGACCTGCTGAGAAACCTCACAAGGAAAGGGCCAGGGATCCAGGAGCAAGCATTGTCTCATCACATATCTTACAGGGGTATACCCTTTCTGCCTTTCATTAGTTCTTGTTTCTTTCTTTAGGATTCAACTCTCATTGACCCAGCTTGGACCTTGTGCTCTTTCAGCTAGGAATTCAGCTAGGGGAAGAGGTTTGACTGACAGTCCCATTACAACGACCCATTTTGGGATAAAGCTCATGATTTGCAAAAGCTGATCAAAGTGCTCTTGCTGTAAGGAGGAAGCAGATGCTAGATACATACAGAGTCCCAACTGGGCATGGAAGCTACATGTTTGGCCTCCTTGGCGGAGCCTCTGGCTTTGCTTCATTCCAGCCCAGAGAACAAGTATTTCCTCCCATTCCCTCCCTTGATCTTCTCTTCCAAGCATTAGCAAGCAACATAGGTTTTGCCAAAGATTCTGGGGACAGAGTGTAAAGAGGTTTGACATTGAACATCACAGGGTAAGTAGCTGCCTGCACTTGAAAGTAGTTTGTATGTCTGGCTCACATCCTCAACACCTAGCACAAAGCACGGTGTATATAGGCTTTTTGAGATAAATATATGTTGAAGGAATGAACACTTCATAACCTAAATTCAGCTAT